TGAATATTTCGACCAGTTTCACCTACCGTAAAGTATTATGCTGAGTACACACGGTTGCTTGACAACAGTTTTTGTTTATGCTTACTGGACGGATCAACATTATGGCACACGAATGTAACCCATAAGTGCTCCGTTTTACTCCAAACTCAAGCCTGAGTCTAAAGAATCTCAGCGCAGTGGGTCAACTCCGTTGCACCCGTAAGGATCCTGAAATACTTTGGGTAGAATCTCAACTCTAATGTTTACCCGGGCAACCTTGTTAGGCTACTCTTTTCGATTGCCTACTGCCAAGGGATCGTTTACATGCACAAGAATACACTTACAACTAGTAGATCCGGGGAAATTGGCAGAAGTCAAGGGGGAAAAAATCACAGTCTTCACCTGGACTTGAACCCGGGAGTACTCGAAGCGGACATCATACCTCTTGACCACTCAGCCCCACTAACAATTTTTGTTTCAGCGGTGATCTGTCTGTTCTCCCAAACTCTTGTTGTTCCATTTGTTACTGCTATTGCCGCTTCACCTATCATGGTGTTGATTTCTTGGTGTTTGCTATTAAAATAGTTGCTCCTAAACCCTCGCTCTGACAGTATCTTTGTTTGACTTCTGGGACTGCAGCTTGAAGCTTTAACACTAAAAAGATAGTAACTGTTTGGATGGCAACCTAACAGAAATAAAACCGAAATATCTGTTGTCTTTGTTTTTCATGAATGGAGACTGTAATATTTACATACAGTCGATCAAGGTGTCACTATTCTGATGCCAGTCTCGCAAGAGTTAATACACTCCATTCAGTCTGTTACCATATCGACCCAGCCTTGAGTGGGTACCGGCTGCAGTCCCAGGAAGTAAAGGCGGCCTGCGTGATGCTGACCACATCACTAATCTTGTGCCGATTGGTCTTTAAAAATATAGGTCTAACCCTATATGCCCTATACGGCTTAAGGAATGAAAATAGACGTTTAATTTTTTTTTTTTTTTTTTGGGTCACTTTACACTTTTCACAAATTTAGTCGTATTGAGCCTACATTGTTAAACATATATTTTATCGGCACTCAATGGGGGGGGGGGGGGTGTGGTCAACATCACTCCGGCCCCTATTACTTGCCAGGACTTTACCTGGTACCCATTTCAGGCTGCATCGACCTGGGAGTCAAGGTCATTTGTTTGAAAAAATGTTCTGCTCTGTTTGCACTTGATAACGCAAATGGATCCGCGGTACAAGGTCTAGCCGCCAAACCAAGGCGTCTCGCAAAATAATGAGTCCTACCATTTTAGTACCACAACAAGCTTGTTTACAAGTTCGGGTCATTTCCATGATAATCTCTGCAGCCGAACTAGGTCACGTTTCTTTCATAAATTGTTTAGACTGGTCTGCTGTACGGGGGGTTACGGCAATGTTTTTTGCTTTCTGGCATGTCTTGCATTTACGTTTTTCTTCCGAGAAAGAGAATGCCTGTGACATAGGTTGCAGCAATCTCTAGGGAGGTTGTGTGTTAGACCCAGTTTTTGAATGTTTTTATATTGTTAAAAGCGCTGCTTGCTTAAATATACAACACGCGATATTAACGGCATTGCTGAACACCCATTTAGCAGTGTACGAAGGTTGGGTGACACAAGGTCGACCAATCAGAAGTTAGCTAGTGTGTATATGGGCGGTCGCTGGGGAGATTCTCTGTCTTTATTTTGATTCTCAGCTGAGATGTTTTCGATTCGTGTCAAATGTAACCACTTTTTAAATCTCCACTGTACTTGTTACTTCTCCATTGGGCCCTGCAAAAGATCAATATGATTAGGCTCTTGGGTTTACCGAGATGTATTCCCTGCTAATAATATATTTTAGCTTTAGGGGCCAATTTTATAGTTGCGATCAGAGATTTCACCGCCCTCGGGTCTATATCTTCACAATCTCACTACCGCCCCCTATTGCTATAGCCAACTCTATCCAGACTTCAGACTGAGCGGCGTTTCTGGGATTTGTACCTAAGTAATAGGAAGTAATGAGAGATGGAAAAAAAGGGGGCGGGGGGATTTCTGAGACAACGTAGTCAATCCTTTTGTCTCGCGCTCTGAAAAATCGTGAGATCGTTTCATGACGGTACCTTTCAGTTCACGAGTGCAATTTATTCGTAGATCTCTGGTGATCGTTACCGGAGCTGTGGCAGTCGTTTGCTGTGTGACGCTCTCGGTGGGCAGCTAGCTGTTCTGAGGAAAGAGACTGAGCCATAGGGGATAAAATCTGGTGCAATGAATTCTATACTCTCGCCTTTTCCTTTACCTTTGCCAAAAAAGTAATGACACACTGTACAAAGTGTCACAGGGTGGTAATCGCTCAGTGTGTGGTCCTTGTAGGGTAAAATATCACCCTCTCCCCATCCCCTTTTTCCTAATAAAAAAAGTGAAGGACCCTTTTCCATGAATTTAGGGCGTACATGGCATATAGGGCTAGACCTATATTTTTATAGACCAATCGGCACAAGATAGGTGATGTGGTTAGCATCACGCAGGCCGCCTTTACTTCCCGTGACTGCACCCGGTACCCACTCAGAGCTGGGTCGACCTGGGAGCCAAGGTCATTTTTGAAAAAAGTCCGTCTCCGCCGGGGAACGAACCCACTACCTTCCACGAGTCTAGCCGCTCGGCCACGGCGACTCCCCTTTTTCCTAATACTATTGATAAAAATGTCAGTCTAAACGAGAAGTCGATTGTATTCAGCTACCCAATGTCACAATCAATAACCATAAAAAGATTCACTGTCAGACCTTTCACAAAATATCTATCCTTCTATGAACAGAAGAGGCTCTGCGTTACTTGTCGTTGCAGAAGTAAGAAAGTGCTCCAGGCAGGTGCTGTTCTTGGTTGTTCTCCATTTCTATTAGTTCAGTATTGTTTCGCCACCAACTCACATAAACTTACCGGCTGTAAACTCCGACGGAAAGTTTTCGTTGTTTGTCCACTGCTGGACTACAGTCTTATTCCAGAATTTGAATTTTGTATTCGCATCCGTTTCACATAAACGAAACATCACTCACATTTGTATAGACCATCGTCACTCAATGTGTTGAACATTATACCTGTTGCCCTTATTTCCCATGATCTTTCCTTGTATCTTTTCTAGACACGAATCGGCCTTGAAGCCAAGGTCAGTAGTAAAAAGTCCAATTCAATGCGGATTTGAACTCACTATCTTTGGGTCGGCATGAGAGCGTCTACCCACTACGTTGCCGCATGTCCCAGTCATAGGCTCTATCATTGCCTTTTAGTTTGTTTTCAATGTCCAAACAGCTGCTTGATCATTTGACCATCCTCACGACTTCAATCCGAACGGGTCCGGACATCTTTGGGGGGAGGGACTTTGTTTTCATGAATGATAGTGGTTCCCATGCTGACCCAGCTTTGAATGGGTGCTAGGTAAACTTCTGGGAAATAAAGGCGACCGGTGTGGTGTTTCAGGCTCCAATTCCCTACCGACTAATCGGGACAAGGATACTGAGTCCTGATCGCTGTCGTGATCTTCTTTACGATATGGATCTCGTATGGCATTTAAAAAATCATTCCTGTCCATTACCGGGTCAGTTTAGTAACCGCCTTGCCTGCCATATAATCTGCATCCTAATTGCCTAGAACACCCACATAACCAGGCACACACAAAAATAAAGATTATGAGCCAAACGGGATAAACTTTAGGCAATAAAGTCGACTTTAACCTTTAGCCTTTATGAATCTAATGTATTAATGTTTCAAACCCAAGTGCTATATTGTTATCTACTTGCACGTTTGTGCAACGCTTTTTTCTCCCCTGTAACCATCATCATCAGGTGCCTTGCTGGCAGGCGTTGGCGATCATGCCTCTCATAATCTGCTATCTCCTGCAGCATGTATCAGTTCTTGTGCCGACACACCTCCATGCCATGCAACAAGACTGTCAAGCATCTTCTCTCGTTGTCTTCCTCTATCTCTCCTTCCACATATCTTTCCAGTGGTCACAACATGTTCTATTTTCCCACTTCTCAGAACATGGCCGAAGAATGATGACTGTCTCCTTCTGATGTCTGTGATAAGTTGTCTTCGTGCTCCCGCCTCTTTCAAAACCTCTTGGTTGCTCTTTTTGGCTGTACAAGGTATTCTAAGCATTCTTATGCAAAACCACATCTCCGAGGCCTACAGAAATTGTTTGGCCTGCCTACCGATTGTCCAGAATTCACAGCCATGTGTTAAAACTGGATGTATGTAACCACTAACGTATTTAGAAACCATGAGTTGTAAACCCTTTGTCTCGGTACTGTGGATATCGCAACCCTTCGGCATTGATTCCATTATAGGTACCGTTAATCTGGGAGAAATGTGGCTTTTCTGCCTACCCCCGGGAGTGAACCCGGACCACAAGGAGTTCGTCACCCGGCCGCCGCGAAAGTCAGGTTTAACCAACTTCGCTAGAGAGCCGGGCATGTAACCACCGTTAACAAAAATAATCGCCATTTACTCGTACTTACGCGTTTTCTATTAGTGAGTTGAACTGTTTCGTGTGTCCAGTATTCTCTTGCTCTATATTCTTCTTCTTCTTCTTCTGCGCTGTCACCAGCTGTAAACTTTGGCTGAAAGTTATGGTTGTTCATCCACTTTTGGACTGCAGTCCTGTTCCAAAACTTGAGGGTTGCGTGTGCATCCGTTTTACAGATCTGACTCATTTGTATGCAGACTGCTGGTTTCTTGCCTCTCAGGCAGATGCACTCTGACTTCGAAGGAAGCTCCCAATAAGTCGACTCTTACGACATGCTTTTAGGTAGGCAGTGGATCTATTCTTGTTTTCCCTATAATGGGGCCCCCGAACCCACACGGTAAGTGCTTTTTTATATTTCACCACTTCTGTGAATTTTAACAAAACCGATTTTGTTCACATCTTCAGAATTTCGATGGGTGGGCGCTAAAGATTACGTGACGTCAAGAATGACGTCGGCGCCAGGTCCAATCCCTGCATCTTATGACGTCATCATGAAGAAATGGGTTGTTCGGCCTCTGTAAGCGGAAGTTCTAAACTGTGGCCATCCAGGAAGAAATGCCCTCCCGCTGTTATTGAGGTTAGCCCCGCCCAACCCAATCACCTACCTACTCCTAGGAACTGGACATCGCTGACACAGAATATACAGGTTTGCTTGTCATAGTTTTCTTATCCTTCTTTTTCTTCTTTTTCTTGCTCTTTTTCTTCTTCCTCTTCTTCTTTCCCCCTTATTATTATTTTTATTATTTCATCTTATAGAAACAAGATGCCAACGAGCCAGTGTACTTATATACCAACTGACACCGTTGTTAAGACATCCAAACATAAGTATGAGCTCCCTGAAACATGTTATAAATACTTGGACATTATCGAAGACTAACCTACGTCAAATTAACACCTATGAAATTAGGTGCCTGAGAATAGCCGCCAACGTAACCAAGAAAAAGTAAGAAATGAAAAACACTATTCGCATTTTAGTTGAATTTATTCAGTTTTGTGCTTCATTTTATGTTGATGCAACTCTGTAGTAACGCACCTGATGAGATACAGCGAAATATGCCTGGCAATAAATTGAAGAAACTATTCGCATTTCAGTTGACTTTATTCAGTTTTGTGCTTCATTTTTTGTTGATGCATCTCTGTAGTAACGCACCTGATGAGATACAGCGAAATATGCCTGGCAATAAATTGAAGAAACTATTCGCATTTCAGTTGACTTTATTCAGTTTTGTGCTTCATTTTTTGTTGATGCATCTCTGTAGTAACGCACCTGATGAGATACAGCGAAATATGCCTGGCAATAAATTGAAGAAACTATTCGCATTTCAGTTGACTTTATTCAGTTTTGTGCTTCATTTTTTGTTGATGCATCTCTGTAGTAACGCACCTGATGAGATACAGCGAAATATGCCTGGCAATAAATTGAAGAAACTATTCGCATTTCAGTTGACTTTATTCAGTTTTGTTCTTCATTTTATGTTGATGCAAGCAACTCTGTATTAACGCACCTGATGAGATACAGCGAAATATGCCTGGTAATAAATTGAAGAAACTATTCGCATTTCAGTTGACTTTATTCAGTTTTGTGCTTTATTTTATGTTGATGCATCTCTGTAGTAACCTGATGAGAAATTACATAATCAGACAGAATGTAGAAACAAAATCATGCATAAATTCACCGAATAAAGAACATCAAATGGTTTCGTCATTTAGTAAGAATGCAGCCAGAACAACTACCGACGCTAGCGCTACACGTGAAAAGATCTGCAGTGAAATCTAAAGGTCGTCCTAGGCCTAGGAGGAAAAGGATTGATGACATTAAAGAGCTTCAAAGGAATTAGAATAGCCAATGCTGCCCATCAGGCAGTGAGTCGCAAACTGTCCCTCCCCACAACGCTTAACGGCAGAAGTGGAAATTGATAAAGATGACCCTATATGGATTGCAATGCAATATTGTACACAAACCTTTTAATTTATTCATAATTTTGAATGTCAAAGACTATCTATCTGGTCATAGAGTAAAATACATTTTTTCAATGAAATTAAAATGTTTTCAAGAGAATTAAATTCGTGTTTCTTTTTTATCTCCGTCTGAAGGAGAATTTGTCGTGACTTGTTACCATTGATTCGTATATTTTGCTTTTTCTTGAATGTTTTTAATGTAATTAATATCTTATAATTGTCGGCGTTACTGTTTGCGTACAACATGCACATTCAAATCTAGTGTGTTGTTTTCTTCTTTTTGTGTTCGACTTCTTGTTAACAGATTCAAACGCATATTCAAGTTTATTTCAGGGCATTTCAGACACCCTTTGGTCAGCGAGCTATATTTAATTTTCGCTGGCTGTCCGGAAAGAAACAAGCTTTGGTATTACTGAAAAAGAAAAGTTTTTACGACTTGGTAGCCAGAAAGAGTGATATATTATGTGCAATGATAATTTCGCTGTACCAGTCTGTACCATCTTAAACTTTGTTAAGTAAACTTGCGCACTTTGCGGTAGTTTAAAATAATTGTACGAATAGAGTAAAAAATTTGCTGCTAATTTTGCATTAAGTTTCACCATACATCCACTGAATCTATTCGAATGATTCAGAAGGCTTTCGAGGAACGATGTAATGAGAATAAGTCCAGCATGCATGGGATTGAATCCAAACGCTTGAAATACAGTTGAGAAAAAAGTTGAATATTGTGCTGTGTAATTAAGCTTTTTCTCAAAGGTGCAGATCTTCTTCTTCTTCTTCTTCTCTTCCACCTTGTACCTCATCCAAGTGTCGGGGAGATATGTAATGTTCGTTGATGAGCTCTGTCAAGAGCACTATTAAGACTGGTGTTCATTTCTGAAAGGCTGTTCTTAATGCCATCACTCCATATTTTCCGAGGTCTTCCACTTGCTCTATATCCGTTGTAACGTTTTAGTGTGGCTCGCTGTGGCAGATAGTACCAGGGCATTCTTGTAAGGTGTCCAAACCACTTCATTTGTTGTTCTTTGATGACCTGTAAGACTGGCTTTATTCCTAGCATTCGTGTGATTTCGTGATTTCGTATTCTGTCTTTCCTTGAAACTCCAGCAACTCTTCTAAGGCATATCATTTCTATTGTCAAAATTGTACGTTCATTGGAGGATGTGAGTGTCCACGTTGGGTATCTGCTTGTGTGTCAACAGGGGAGATAGTTGCCCCATTGCTTGATTAGCTTTGGCACATCTCGAGGTAATTTCTCTGTCCGGTTTTTCGTCGAATGTGAAAATTGCTCCCAAATACTTCAATTCCTCTGTTTGTTTTAAGGTGTTGTTTTTTAATAAAAGTGCAGATAGAGGCACATTAATTGTATTTCTTCTGCATACCTAAAGCGCTATTTGTAGACATTATTTTGAGTTTATTTCTATTTTATAGCACGCCTACAGAAAAAGGAAGCAGCTTGAGGGCAAGAAATTATTCTTGGACTCTGAATTTCCGCCAAGGGACGCCTCCATTGGCTCCAAACAGTTCAGACACGGCCACGGTAAAATTGTCTGGGCGAGACCACACGTAAGTTTCTGACCACACTATAGTGAATTGTTGATAGTAATCTTTTACATTAATTTATTCTTCTAACGTGTTAAGATACTGTATAAGTGAGGGCATTGCTAACTTGGGGTTGAACATGTTTAGATTAAGTGTTGCACCCCCCACCCCCCCCCCCCCCAACGACGGATAGGCGTACCACACTTTCTGCTGTTTTGCTTTACAAACAGTTGATCAATGGGGATTCTTCTGCCTTGTTCACCGACATATTGGGAAAGGAATACGTATATTTTAAACAACCTTTCATAAATAATCTTTTATTCCACGTGTAAAGTCTATCTATTGCGCGACAAACACGGTCCGACAAATTAATAATGAGACTGATTTTATTATAGCCAAGACGAAAATGTCATCTATGAAGCAAAGCATGGAATCTAAAGAGGCAACATTCATCTATGGTCTGGCAACTTTTTATCTTCGTTCGATAAGCAGACAACAAACAAGCCGCCATTTCGTTGACCTAGTCAGAAGTGCATTGTTACATATCAGCACGGAGCAGAACGCTAACATTAAATTCTTTTTAAAACTCAAAAAAAAAAAAAAAAAAAAAAGCGCCATTGAAACAGTTGAATTGATGCAACAAGTTTATGGGGATAACTGTTTATCTCGTGCGCACATTTTAAGGTGGTATTCACATTCACAAGTGGTGAGGAAATTATTACTAATGCACTTAGACCTAGACGCCAAATTTATGTTCGTAATAATGAACTCATTGCAACAGTCAGAGAACGGATACAAGAACAACATTGTTTTGCTGTGAGGACGATGGCAGATGAATCCGGTTTCAATAGAAAGACCATTCATAATATTTTAGTGCAAGATTTTGGCAAGAAGAAAGTTGCTTGCCGGTTTGTACCACTGTCGTTATCTGATGACCAAAAACATCAATGGGTTATGTACCCAAGTGACATCATCAAAACAAAAATTTTTGGCTCAAAAACAAATGTGTGTTTTCAGCCTTCCGCCCTATTCTCCAAATTTGTCTCTCTGTTATTATTTTCTATTCCTAAATTAAAAGTTACGATTTAAACGACGTTTCTATAACGATGCTGGTGACATCCAAAGTAGCGTAACATCGACTTTAAGGGCCATAACAACAAAAGGTCGTTCCAGTGTTTGTTAGATCGAACTGCTTGCTGTATCAATGCACAAGGGGCTTACTTTGAGTCAGATAGAAGTTATATCTTCAACTGCTGATTATTTTAATTTTTATGGAATTAGTCTCATTACTTAATTGTCGGACCTTGTATATAAATGTATACAAAATATTTTTTTCGTAGCAAATAGCAACAACAGAATTGAATATAGTTATTGAAGACAGTATAGGTGCCTTATACGCACTTATGGCTATATTTATACAGTCATAATCCATCAATCAATCCTCATCATGCACAGAGACACATAGCGCAGAGACAAACTGGCGCCACTCACCTCCATCTTGTACCATCATCTCTATCTCCAGTTTTGTCCTTCCCGTAGCATTGAGTTAAGCCTCAAAGGTACCTCCAAGTGCCTTTGGGCATGCCTCTTCTTTGCTGTCCTTGTGGTGTCCATTGCATTGTCTGTCTAGGCCGCCTCTATTTCTTCACTCTGACGACGTGTCCAATCAACCTCCATCGACGTGTTTTTTTTTTTTTTTTTTTTCAAATTTACATCTTATCAGTCTGTCATTTGTTGTAATCTAGTCTTGCTGATTTTATCTCTCCATGTGCACCCCAAAAAAAAAGATGTCTTCCCTCTCTGTATTTCTGTCTGTTTTCCAAGTTTCTGCTCCACAGAAAAAAAGCTGTCCTTGCGCATGTTTTGTATATACTTAGTTTTAGTGCTGTAGATATTTGACCTCCAGACACTCTAAAACTGTTGTAAGCAGCATTCGCCTTTGCAATTCTCTGCTTGCTTTCAACCACTACTTTTCCATCAGAGGAAATATTGTTTCCC